CTGGGGAACTCTGGGAGTTGAAGTCCACACCTCTTTGAGTGGCCAAGGTTGAGAAACACTGACAGAGTGTCTTGGAAAGACTATAGAGTTGAAAGGGCCCTCAGAGACCATCCTCTCCAACCCCCTTGCCCAGTGTTTCAACCATCCTCCCTCAAGCTGATGTACTCTGGATGCGTCACCCCACAAATCCCACCCCGCCCCCTGCTTTATAGGTCCTGTGGAGCAGCAACCCATCCAGGCCGGGGGGTTGCTCACCTGGAAGCAGATGGCACACAGGTCGTCGTGCTCCTCCAGCTGCCTGCTGGTGGCCCTGGGTAAGAAGCCGATCTTCTTGGCTGCCTCCTGGCGGAGCAGGAAGCTCTTCCAGCCGGACTGGGCCCTCAGCCAGACGTTGAAGTAGCAGTGGATGATAATGACCGAGGCCCCCATCCATGTCCACTCCCCCAAGAGGGACTCCCAAGTGCCATAGGCCACCACGCAGACGGCCACCAGGAACTCCAGCACCCGGCTGGCGGCATTGACCCAGTAGATGATCTCGTCCATCTTCTCCACTGGGCGGTCCTGGAAGAACTCGATCATGAAGAGGCCGTAGATGAAGAGGGTCCCCGTCACCTATGAGGAGCAAGAAAAGGCTTCCCAGGCACGGCTCTGCCCACAGGGGATCGCCGTGCGGCTAAGCAGTTCTGCTAGGCCGAGCCCAGGACTCTTGAAGACACCCTTCCTACTTGGGAAATGGCAGGCCCCAGCAAGCTCACCAGCCAGGAAACTGGCCCCTGTTCCTTCTTTCCAGAAGCCAGAGCTATACTGCCCCTGCAGATGGAGGCTCCATTCTCGGCCACTTTAAAAGGCTGCCTTCTCAAGCACATTCTCCCTCCTCCCCCCAGCACTTCCGCTGATGCCATCTGAGTAGGTGCCACCCCCATTTTGCACCCCACGTCCATTGGTGGCCTGAAGCGCTGCATCTGAAGGTCCTTTCCAAAAGCTGCCCAAGTGACTGACCGCCTGCCTTTTGGAGTGGGGGAGGGGCCCTCTGGAGCCCCTGCCACTCGCTCCAGGGCTGAGGCGAGAAGCGGCCAAGGGCACGCCAAGCTGTACCTGCAGGGAGGTCAGCGTGCAGCTGGAGATGAGGATGAGGAGCCAGAAGTCCAAGTGGAAGAAGTGGGCAATCTTACAGGCCATGAAGCCAGGGGCGGCCAAGAGGAACAGGCACATGCTCACCCCACGGAAGTGTTTCCAGAAACTCCTGCAAGGAGAAGGTGGGGTGGTTGGGCAGACCAGTGGATGAGGAGCCCCCCCCCGGCAAGTCTCTCATCCACCCTAGGCACCCTCTTGCAGGCCAGAGAGGACCACATCGGGCTTAGGAGTGAGGGGGGCAGCAGATACTGCACAATGATGGCACAATCCTTCATTCCCCCCTGCCCAGGCAACCTCTCCCCACCTCAGCCGGAGGACGATGCCTGGAAAGAGACACCTGGAAAACAGAGAAACTGAGTGGTGGAGTCGACACACCATGCCTGACTAGACTGAACTGGGGTTGGGGGTTCTGTGATTCGAAATGCTACGTGAACCGGACCATCCTGTTAGGCCACAGTGGGCCTCCCTTGTCTGTGCACAGCCCGTTACAGGAATGCAGGACCTGCAGTTTGTTAAGCCAGGCCGAGGGGGCTGTATGGATGTAATCACTTTGTGTTTTCGGCCTGTGTGGACTGATTGGAAAACACCCGTTGTTTTTCAGCCGCCTTGATCCTGACGCTCTCAGGTGAATCTGGAGGTAGTTCTAGGGGTTGTCTGAACTCTGGGGGACACCTTGTCCCCAACACACATTGAGCTCCCCCCACGATGGGAAGGCAGTAGGCTGGTATTGCCCTCCTCCCAGCTGCGTGGACCCCCAGGACCGAAAAGCACCGTCACCTGTTCTGCGACGCCCCCAGCCCCAGCACGACAGGTTCAGCTATTTCGAACATGGACTGCAGGGTGGAGGTCACCACGATGAAGAAGATGACGCTGAGCAGGAAGGTCCGCTGGAGAAGCTGCAGGTCCAAGAGGCCTGTCTGGAGGGCGAGCAGCAGCAGAGTCGCCCCTTCCGTCACACCCCTGGGGGCAGGGAAAGAAAGGGAGGGGTGGGCAGAGTTTCTGGAGGCCCTCGCAGTCGGGCTTTCGGATGATGGGCAAACGCTGAGTGGTTTCACATCCAGACATTCCTTTGATGAGTTATAGAGGGTTGCAAGAAATATAACCTTTTCAAGGGGGACCAAATTACTTCGCTAGGTAGCAATCACCATTTTGCTCAAGGGGTCTTCTAGGACCCCTGGATCCTTTCAAGGGTCACATCCTTGGACTGTTTCTCAGCCCGGCTTCCTAAGCAGCTGGAAGCCACAGAGAAGCTGGTCTGGTCCTTTGGTGGCCCTCCTAGCTCCCTCACTGATCACGCTTTCAAGTTTTCCTCTTGCTTTGGGCTTCACTCCTCTAGCTGTGAACTTGGACTCACCAACTCTCTAAACCATTGTTGTCCAAACTTGGCCACTTTAAGATGAGTGGACTTCAACACCCATGCTGGCTGGGGAATTCTGGGAGTTGAAGTCCACTCATCTTAAAGTGGCCAAGTTTGGACAACACTGCTCTAAACCAAACTCACATCCACAGGGGCCCAACTCCACTTCGATGCCGAGAGAAATGCCCCCAGTCCTGCCAACTGATTGAGTCTAGAGCTCATCCTCGTGGCTGCCTGACAGGGAAACCCACCGATTTGAGCTGGCATAAAGCGTGCTGTCCCCACTCACAATCGCTGTCCTGCAACAGAACCGGGGATGGCAGATTGGGCTGTCCTTGTGCACCGATCGAGGCTGAGTTAAGGAAAATGTGTGCTGGATTCCCCCCGGCCTCGTTTCCTGCACACCATCCATCCCCGGCGGGCAAGAGAATATTCACTCTGGGTGAGGAGGAAGTGAGTTTTGACCGAGGGCTCGAAGAATTGGTTTAGTTATGGGTCAAAACCTGGAACAAAAGGGCTGATCCAGGGGGTGGAGAGAAGCTGCCCAGAGAATTGAAGACAGTGAACAGCCCTTCTCCCCCAAGAATGATCAGGTGGGGGGAGCATTACTGGGCAATTTCTGCCCCCCCCCATGATTCTGGAAGGCTTCCAGCTCCTGTCCACCAGCCCAAGGAGCAGCTGGGAAGTGCTGGTGGGACAGCCCAGGGAAGTGGGGAGATCCTGCTTCCCCACCAGCCGCCTGGTGTCTGTCAGCTGTTCGTAGGGCTATTTTTAAAGATCAGTTTAGTGCTCTTCCAAAAGAGAGGGGGAGGGAGGGAGGGACGGAGGGGGAGAGGAGGAGGAGGAGGATGGAGGGACGTTCTCACCTGTGCATCACGTTGCCATCCTGGAAGGCGCCGTAACCAGCTAAATAAAGCTTGCCCAATTGGAGCAGCCCCAGGGCCAGGTAGGAGACGGTGAAGGTGAGTCCGATGAGCGAGTAGGGCGTGCTGCAGCACTCGGCCACGCTGGGGACGCCGGAGAGAGAACGAGCTGCACCAACTCCCCCAGGTCTGCCTCCTGTTTCTGAGAGCAGCCCCCAGGCCCCTCTGGAGTACCCCTCCTACTGCCCATCGGGGGGCTGGGGGCGTTCAGGGAAAAACAGCCTTTGTGCAGAGAAGCCCCGTTGGGCATCATGGCCAGGAACTACGGACGGACCTCATTTGTTTTTGAGCCAGCAGAGCTTATCTTGGAGCAGTGAGTTCCAGAAGCTCCTTACCTCATTTTCATGAGGAAATCCTTATTTCTATCTGCCTTGAACTACCACATGGACAAAAGTGGGGTTTTGGGTTCTCCTCCACCGATGCATACCATGTAGCTTTTCCCCCCCTTTTCCTCTCCCTTTAAAAAAGAAAAAAATGTGTATTTTCCTAACCTGGAATGAGTCAGGGAGATACTCCTTTGGATCCCTTTTGAATTCTCTGGGTTTTTGCCACCCAGAGCAATCGGGCATCAGCCACCAATTGGGCTATTTAATATCTCAACCTGTCTGACGTGATTTTAGGAGCGACAGGAGGACCGAACCCTCTGAGGAACTGACTCCTCTGCCTCCACTTCACTTTATCCCTTCCATTCGCCAAGTTGGGCTCCCCGGCTTCCTGTTTGAACCCAGGGGGCCGATGCTAAGAGGGTGAGCGCTTCGGAAAGCCTTGCACCTCCCAGAGGGCTGGGCGTGGCACGGCGAGCCCCAAGAGCCAGCCCCGTGGAAATTTGCAAGACGCTTTTGGGTGGAGACAACTCCAGATCCGAGGATGCTGTGCAACTCATCCTGCTGTGGCAGCATCTTCCCCCCCAGCTGCACCCCCTACCTGCTGAGGAAGATGAAGGTCCACCCCCGCTGGGATAAAAGGTGGCCGGAGGAGGAAGAGACCAAGGTGAAGATCTGCAGCGTGAACAGGATGAGCCAATAGGTTGAGAACAGGAGCGGGACAGCCAGCCGTCTCCAGAGGGACACCCCCAGGGTCACCGGGTGATACACCTCCGGGTCCTGGAAGAAAGACACCCCCGACTAAGGACAATTTCGATAATGCCAGGACTGCAGACCCAGCCGATGATCAGCCAGCACACCGACCCCCCAATGCAGGCAGCTGACAAGGTAATTGGCATGTTCATCTTCAGAGGAGGAGACAAGGCTCAGCCCCACAGCACAAGCACGGCCTTTCCTGCCCCTCTTGCCCCTCCCTTCGCTGCACGGAAGCCCTCATCCAAAGAGCTGGCGGGCCTCCGTCACCAGGTGCGTTCAAGCTGAGGCCAGACGGCCATCGGTCGGGGATGGCCCCTTTGCAAGCTTAGGATCCCGTTTGTAGAAGCGCTGCAAACCGATGTTGGGATTTCAAGGTTAGGTCGTGATGTCACCAGCACTAGCCCATTGGTTCCTTTTCATCACCAGCTCCCCCCATCTTGGATTCTGAGAGCACGCCAGTCTTAAACCAGTGTTTCTCAACCTTGGCAGCTTGAAGAGGTGTGGACTTCAACTCCCATGGCTGGCTGGGGAATTCTGGGAGTTG